TGTTCTCCCATGTAAACTATCACATAATTCACAGTAAAACATTAAAAAAGAAAAAAAAAAGGTGTGCAACAGTTTTATATTCATTCACCATACTTACTCAACCTGTATGCTCAGTAAATAATCTAAGAAGCTGGATTATATGAAGAACAACATGGCATCAGGATTGAAGGAAGACTCATTAACAACCTGTGATATGCAGATGATATAAGCTTGCTTGCTGAAAGTGAAGAAGACTTAAAATATTTACTCATGAAGATCAAGAATACAGCATTCAGTATCGATTGCATCTCAGTGTAAAGAAAACAAAAATCCTCACCATTGGACCAATAAACAACATTCTTATCAATGGAGAAAAGATTGAAGTTGTCAAGGACTTCATTCTTCTTAGATCAACTATCAACACTCATGGAAGCAGCAGTCAAGAAATCAAACAAGGTATTGCATTAGGCAAATCTGCTGCACAAGACCTTTTTAAAGTGTTGAAGAACAAAGACATCAGCTTGAGGACTAAGGTGCACCTGACGCAAGCCATGGTATTTTCAATTACTCATATGCATGCAAAAGCTGGACAGTGAATAAGGAAGACCGTAGAAGAATTGATATTTTTGAGTTATGGTGTTGGAGGAGGATATTGAAAGTTCCATGGGCTGCTAAAAGAACCTATAGATCTGTGTTGGAAGAAGTGCAGCCAGAGTGCTCCTTGGAGGCCAGGATGGCCAAACTTGGTCTCTCATACTTTGAACGTATTGTAAGGAGGGACCAGTCACTGGAGCAGAATATCATGTTTGGTACGGTGGAGGGCCTGAGAAAAGAGGAAGACCCCTAGCGAGATGGATTGGCAAAGTGGCAGCATCAATGAGCTCAAGTGTGTCAACAATTGTAAGGTTGGCTCAGGACCAGGCAGTGTTTCCTTCTGTTGTGAATAGGGTCGCTATGAGTTGGTACCAACTAACAACAACTATACAGGATAAAACAACACTTAAATTTGTAAGCAACCCTGTGCCATGTTATATAGGTCATAAAATTACTCGGTTTTCCGAGATGGCGTCTTCCCTTGGCAACTTGCCTTTTGAAGGAGATACAATAAAGCTTATGTTTCACCTGAAGCAAATTAGTTTTATCTATTAGGAAAATTTGACATAAACAAGGAGCCCAAATTCCCACACATACTTGGTGTATTGTGACAATTGTGCCAGTCTTTCAGCGTACCTGTGAATTTGTTTTAAGGGTATACTTGACTCATAGGGACCCTGCAGGACAGAACTGAACTGCCCCTGGGGATTTCCACTGTGTGATCTTTATAGCTGTGGTCTTCTGCAGGGTTGTAGAATGTTCGATTTCTATTGTGGGTTCTGGAGACACGGTAAGCTGTAGATCTAAAGATTGATCTGTAGCTTTCTTTAGAGAAGGAGCTGTGGTCTTCTGCAGGACTGTAGAATGTTGCACTTCTGTAAGGGGCTCTGGAGATACAGTAAGCTCCAAATCCAAAGGCTGAATGGTGACTTGCTGTGGAGGAAGTGTGATCATCTACACGGCTGTAGAATGTTCAGTCTATGTATTGAATTCAGGTGTTATGGTAAATTCCAGGTCAGAAGGTTGAACTGTAACTTTAGTCAGATTTGGATGCTGAGCCTGAACTTGGTCTGGAGGTGGAAATGTCACCTCACGGTGCTCAGGAGAAGCTGTCATCTCCATAGTGGATTCTGCAGTTATGGTAAGCCCCAAGTTCACAGACTTAACCGTGACATTTGGTAAGTTTGAATGCTGAGCTTGACTTTGACCTGTAGGTGGAACTGCCACCTCATGATGCACTGGAAATTGAGTTACAACTTCCTCAGGTGGCTCTGGAGGCTAAGTTGGGGTCTCTTGACTGGTTTGAGAAATTTCAGCCTCAGTTTTGTATTCTGGAGATATGGTAAGCACAAGGTCCACAGGTTTAGCTGTGACACTGGCCAAGTTTGAATGCTGAACTTTATCTTGGCTTGTAGGTGGATCTGTCACCTCATAATGTGCTGAATGTTGAGCTACAAAGCCCTTAGGAGGTTTTGGAGGCTGACTTAGAGTTTCCTGCTTGGTTGAAGTAGACTCAACCTCTGTATTGGGTTCTGGAGGTATGGTAAGTTCCAAGTCCAATGGAACTGTGGTCTTCTTTAGGGTTGTAGAATACTCAACCTCTGTAATGGGTTCTGAAGTTATGGTAAGCTCCAGATCTACAGACTTAATGGTAACTTTGGGTAAGTTTGAGTGCTTAGCTTGATCCTGACCTGCCAGTGTTGTTGGAGAAAGTTCAACCTCCATATTGGGTTCTGGAGTTATAGTAATCTCCAAGTCTGGTGGTTGAACTGTGACTTCAGTCAGGTTTAACTGCTGAGCCTGAACCTGCTCTGGATGTACAAGTGTCACCTCAGGGCAATTTGGAGAAGTTGTAGTCTTCTGTGGGGTTGTAAAATGTTCACCTTCCATAGTGTGTTCTGGGGTTATGGTAAGGTCCAGGTCAATATGTTGAGCTGTAACGCTGGGCAAACATAAGTACTGATCTTGATATTGGCCTGTTGGTGGAATTGTCACCTCATCGAACACTGGATGTTGAGCCACACCCTCCTTAGGAGGTTCCAGAGGTTGAGCTGGGGTCCACTGTTGGGTTGCCAAAGATTCCACCATCTCAGTAGGCTCTGAAGGCTGTGTTGGAGCTTCCTGCTGGATTGAAGATTCCACCTCATTAGCAGGCTGATATGGAGTCTCCTGCTAGACTGCAGAAGGCTCTGTCTCTTTATGGGGCTCTGAAGGATGCACTTGTACCTCCTGCTGGATTGGAGAAGGCACAGCCTCGTTAGAGGGCTCAGGAACCTGAGGTAGGACTTTCTGCAGGGATGGAGAAGGCTCTATTTCACCTGAAGGTGAAACTGGGACTTCTTGCTGGATTGTAGAAAGTTCAACTTCTTTAGGGGGCTCTGCAGGCAGGGCAGAGGCTGCCTGTTGGGCTGGAGATGGTTGGTTATTCTCAGAGGACTCTGGAGGTAGAGCTGGAGACTCCATCTGGACTGGAGAAGGTTCTACCTCCTTAGGGGGTTCTGGAAGTACAGTTGGCATCTCCTGCTCTGCATTTGCAGGGGGCTTTTTTAATGGACTAGGTGTTTCCTGCTGGACTGGAAAAGGATGGCCCACTAATTCAGGGGGCTGTGGAGGTTGATTGGAGACCTGCTGCAGTACTGGATATGGTGTCCCATTAGGCAGTTCTGGAGACTGAGGTGGAATCTCCTGAGTAGGAGAAAGCCCAATTTCTTTAGGAGGCTCTGTAGGCTGAAATGGGACCTCCTGTTGAGTTGAAGAAGGTTCAACCTTCATAGGGGACTCAGGAGCCTGAGTTACAGCTCCCTGCTGGGCTGGAGAGGCCTCAACTTCCTTAGGGGGCACTGGAGGCTGAGATGGGATCTGCTGCTGAGCTGGAGAAGTCCAGGAGACTGAGTAGAGAATCCTTGCTGGACTGGAGAAGATTCAACTTCCTTAAGGGGCTCTAGAGGCTGAGATGAGGCCTCTTGCTGGGTTGGAGGAGGTTCTACCTGCATAGGAGGCTCAGGAGTCTGAATTGGGCTCTCTTGGGCTAGAGAAGGCTCAACTTCCTGAGGGGGGCTGGAGGCTGAGATGGGGCCTCTTGCTGAATTGGAGATGGCTCTGCCTGCATAAGGGGCTCAGGAGATTGAGTTGGGGCCTCCTGCTGGCCTGGAGAAGGCTCGATTTCCTTAGGGGGCTCTGGAGGCTGAGCTGGGGCCTCCTGCTGGGCTGGAGAAGGCTCTGCCTGCACAGGGGATTCTGGAGGTTGAGCTAGCACCTCTTGCTGAGCTGAAGAAGTGTTTATCTCCTCAAAGCATTCTGCAAGCTGAACTGGGGCTTCCTGATGAAACAGAGAAGATTCAACTGGAGGTTGGGATGAAGCCTCTAGCTAGGTTGGGGAAGGTCCTGCCTCTGTAGTGGGTTGTGAAGTAATAGTAAGCTCCAAATCCAGGTGTTTAACTGTGGTTTGGGGCAATGTTGGATACTGACCTTCATTCTGACTTATAGGTAAAACTGTCACTTCATGGTCCCCTGGATGTTGAGTTACCACCTCTGTAGGAGGCTCTGAAGTCTCAGGTGGGGGTCTCCTGCATGTTTGAAGGAGGTTCATCCTCCTCAGGTTCCTCTGGAAGCTGAACTGGGGCTTCTTGCTGGCCTGAAGGAAGTTGGACCTCTTCAGTGGGATCTGCAGGCTTTGTTGGGTCCTCCTCCTAAGCTGGAGAAGGTTCAACCTTCTCAGTGGACTCTGGAGTCTGTGATGAGTTTTCTTGATGGTTTGGAGAAGGTTCATCCTCTTTAGGATGCTCTGGAGTTTGAGTTGGGGCCACCAACTGGCTTGGAATAGGTTCCATCTCATCAAGGGGCTCTGGAGATTGAGTTGTGGTTTCCTGCTGGACTGGTACTGGAACCTCTGTAGTGGCTTCTGAAGTTATGGTAAGCTCCAGGTCCAGAGGTTTAACTGTGACATCGGGCAACAGTAGATGCTGAGCTTCACTTTGTCCTGGAGGTAAAATCATCACCACATGATGGCCTCCTGGTTGATTTAAAACCTCTGTAGGAGGCTCTGGAGGTAGTGATAGGTCCTCCTGCTGGGTTAGAGAAGGTTCATCCTTCTTACTGTGATCTGGGGTTTTTTTGGGTCATCCAACTGAATTGCTGAATGGTCAACCTCCTCAAGGAGTTCTGAAGGCTGAGCTAGGTCCTCCTGCTGGATTGGAGAAGTTTCATCCTCCTTACTGAGCTCGATAAGCTGTGGTGGGTCCTCCTGCTCACTTAGAGAATGCTGGGAATCATCAGCAGGATCTGGGTCCTCTTGCAGGGCTGAAGATTCGATCTCCTTAGGTGGATCTGGAGGTTGAGCTAGGATATTCCCCTGAGTTGAAAAAAGTCCCATCTCCTCAGGGGACTCCAGAGGCTGAATTGGGGCATCTCATTGTGCTGGAGAATGTTTAACTGATATTTGAGGCAAGACTGAATGCTGAATTTGTGGAGGACCTGGAGGTTGAAATGTCACGCAAAGAAGGTAGAGTTAAAACCACATTTGGGGGCTCTGGTGGCTGAGCTAGGTCCTCCTGATGGGTTGGAGGTTTGACCTCTTTAGGAGGATGAACTGGAGGAGGCTCAACATTTCCCTGAGTCTTTGACGACTGACCTGGAGACTCCTGTTTCATTGCCGATTTCCCCTTCTCAGAAGGAGTCTCTGGAGGTTGAGGTGGGACAGCATGCTGGGTTGGACATGAATGAACCTCCTTAGTGGGTTCTGGAGTTAGGGTCAGCTGCAGATCAGCAGGCTTAACTGTAACATTGGGCAAGTTTGAAAGATGAGGCTGGGTTGGGGCCTCCTGCTGAACTGGAGAAGGTTCCACCTCTTCAGGGAGTTTTACAGGCTGATATGCACCCCCTTGCTGTACTGGAGAAGCCTGAACAGAGGCCTCCTCCTGGGTTGGACAAAGTGTGGTTTCCTCAGAGGGCTTTGAAGGTTTAGCTGGCAATTACTGCTGAGTCTGAGAAGGTGCAATACCCTCAGAGGGCTTTGAAGGATGTGCTGGGGCCTTATGCTGTGTTGGAGGTTTAACCTGAGGAGGTTCAAGAGGTTGTGCTGGGGTTTCTTGCTGGACTGGAGTTTCACTCTCCTCAGAGAGCTCTGAAGGTGCAGTTGGGGCCTCTTGCTCTGTTGAAGGAGGTGTAATTTCTTCGGGGAGACTTAGAATCTAACCTGGAAACTCCTGGTGACTTGCAGAAGGTTCAATACCCTCAGATGGTTTTGGAGGCTCTCCTGGAACTTCCTGCAGCACTGGAGAAAGTTCTACTTCGTCAGGGAGCTCTGCAAGTGGAACAGCAGCTGCCTGCTCAGTTGGAGGTTTGAACTCATGGGGAAGCAGAGGAGCCAGTGCAGGGGCTTCTTGGTGGACTGGAGAAGGCTCCACTTCTTCAGGAAGCTCTGGAGGGAGAGCTGGAGCCTCTAGCTGGACTGGAGATGGTTCAATCTCCTCAAGGTGTTCTAGAGCTGCACCTGGGGCTTCCTGTTGGCCAGGAGAAGTTTCCACCTCCTCAGAGGGCTTTGGAGGCTGAGCTGGGCCTTCCTGCTGTATTGGAGAAGGTCCAAACTCCTTAGGGGGCTCTGAAGCCTGAAATGGAGCCTCCTGCTGCCCTGGAGAAGGCTCTAGCTACTCTGGAGACATTGGAGGCTGTGTTGGGGCTTCCTGCTGGACTGGAGAAGGTTCCAAGTCCTCAGAAAGCTGTGGAGGGTGATCTGGGAATTCCTGCTGCATTGGATAAGGCTCAAACTCCTCAGGGGCTCTGGAGGCTCAGCTGAAAATTCCTGCTGGACTGGAGAAGTACCAACTTCCTCAGAAGGCTTTGGAGGGTGAGCTAGAATCTCCTGCTGGTTTGGAGAAGATCCCACTTCCACAGAGGGTTTAGGAGGGTGAGCTGGAGCCTCCTGCTGGTTTGGAGAAGATCCCACCTCCTCAGAGGGCTTAGGAAGGTGAGCTAGAATCTCCTGCTGGGTTGGAGAAGGTCCCACCACCTCAGAGGGCTTAGGAAGGTGAGCTAGAATCTCCTGCTGGGTTGGAGAAG